GTGAAGAGAAAGTGAAAAGGTAAACCACATTGTTGGGCTTGATTGGCAGCTGGTTTAAAGAGCTTAAGTTTCGTTCAGAGCTGGGGTGTGGTCATAGTTTTGAGGTTAGAAAGTCACCTACGTAGAGCAACAAGCTGCAAAACCAGTGAATTAAAGTGTATAAAAACACTAATCTACTGTGTCAATGTTCCCTTGAGCACAGCACTGAACTCAAAGTGGCCCTGTTTCTGCAACTGTGCAAATGTGAAGCTGCATGTTCAGTTATATTTTCTAAAGAGAAAGTTTAATGATTGGATTAGATATTTTAATATGTAGGTGGAAAGATTTATTGATGTTTAATCCTGCTGTCCACACTCCATTACTAACACAACCACGATGGTCTAACACAAAAAATCCTTAATGACTCTTAGGCATGCATAATATTAAAAAATGAAAACATACACATAAAGGTCAGAGGGCAAAGTACAATAGATTTACAATTGTATTTGTTTGCTAAAAGGTAAATATTGCATTTGTTCTATTGTTGTTTGGTTACGTGTTTTCTTTTGTTGTTTATATTTGATCAGCTGCAAGAAAAAGGTCTTCTAGTGGAATATTAAAGAAGAAATTATCAATCTGTCAAGTGTCAACCACTGGTTGTAATGAAGATGGTGCTGTGTATGACTGCCGTGTTTCTAGCTCGGCTCCAACTTTGCATTTCTTTCGTTTTATTACAGTGTTTGTTAACATTTCAGTGTGTCTTTTTAACATGGTTGACAACATGCGAGCAAACCAAACCATACAATATGGTAGAAAGGAACTTCACATCAGAAACTTGGTGGACAGCAGTCTATCACCGTGACTGGCAAACAATGTGGAGTGGCCATGCCTATCTGTTGTTGTTGTTGCTGCTGTACCTGAGCGGCGCAGAAGGAAAACAAAGCGGCAATCCCGGGCCGGAGTGCAAGTGAGACTGAGGAAACACAGTCTTATGCACATTTTGAGAGCAGCCAGGCTGTAGAGACACAGAAGGCCCAGGAGCCCTTCCCTTTTGTTTTAAACAGGGCAGATGTGTGCAAAACCTTTAAAAGGGTTAATCCACACAAGGCTCCTGGACCTGATGGCATCCCTGGCCGTGTTCTCAGGGTGTGTGCAGTGCAGGTGTTCACAGACATCTTCACCAGGTCACTGCTGCAGTCTGTAGTCCCCACATGTTTCAAAAACTCCTCCATCGTTCCTGTCCTCGAAAAGCCTAAAACCACCAGCCTTAATGACTACTTATTCCACCTACTTCCATCATCATGAAGTGCTTTGAGTGGTTAGACAAAACATTCATCACCTCCTCCCTCCCTGACTTTCTGGACCCCCTGCAGTTTGCCTACAGAGCAAACAGGTCCACAGACGACGCCATAGCCCTCACCATCCTATGGGGTCAGATCAGTCTCAAAAATAATTAAATGCACACAGAAGGATACACAAATGTAATTCCTGATATAAATGTCTCCATCCACACACATATTTGTCAATGCACACACAAAAACTTATCTATTTATAAATGTAAAAAAGTTTCACAAATATATTTCTGATCCACACACAAATAGTTACATCAAAAACATATTTGAGTGTTGTTACATTTATATAAAAAACGCTTTCTGTGTTAATCTCTCTGCATTTGAGTGTGAATCTCTCAGCATTATCCAAGGTTTTTGCTCTCTCATTTTATTAATTTGTTTTAATTACGCTGCGTAGAATTTTATTTAGGAAATAAATGTATATATAAAATATAAGTACAAAATATGAAATGGTTATTTTTGTCTTAATAATTATTATACCATAATAGAATTGACAAATTGCAAAAATAAATTGATGTTGTTCATTCACCAACCAGTGAGAGAAGTGAGAGCGGCGGGATGAGGCAACCTCTCTGATGTTGGGCTGTATTCTGTTGTGGCAATCCTGAGGCACTGTCCAAGATGTGCAAGTCTGTTCCTGTCCTGGCTCTTGATAGCATTCATTGAAGAAAATGCTGATTCGCAGATGTATGTTGAGGGGAACATTGTGAGTAGGAACATTGCAATAACGGGGCCTCATTTATAAAGCATTACGTAGGATTCACGTGGGAAGGTTGCTTACGTAGCACAAAGCAAATAAATACGCACAGACATTTTCCGATTCATAAAACACTACTTACCGGCGCAGAACTTGCCTACGGCATGTCCTACGCCGGTTTCCCTTTATAAATCACAATCAACTCGAAATGCGGTGCAGCTTTTGCGGGCTTCACGTAACGACGCCCATATTTGCCTATTGTTACAACCCGGCTCCTGGTCTGCAACAAAAAGCAGGGAGGCCAGAAGAGGGGTTAGAATATAACGATTGTTTATTCTTAATAAACAATATTGTGAAAGGAACCAGCCTCAGGTCCCAGAGGCTGTGCCCAGAGGAGTGAGAGAGCGAGACATATCCGGCTTGGCTCCTCTTGTATTCTTTTCAGCAGGGGCAGCTCATCAGACAGGTGTAGCCAGGGGTTAAGTTGGGATTTGATATGTGGGGGGGCTCTGTGTGGAGGTGCGAGAGGGGGGCGGATACTAAAGGACAGTAAACCAAAAATATCGTTTAAAACCTGAGAGATACAAAAATATGCATAAATAAATGTTAACTAGGTAAAATAAAATATGAATGAACAACAAAAATAAAATAAGTTACATTGATTTGTTATTGGCTATGGTAGGTTATTGGTTATGTTCACACACTGCTGCAGACTCTGCACGAAGGAGCCGCAGTGCTGCAGCTCCTGATCGGAGCAGAGACACATGTTCACTAAGCGGAAAAACGATATCCTGTCACAGAGATCTGCTATTTTAAAGTAAAGTCAACACATATCGACCCTAAATAAAGTCTATATTAACAACGAGAGATGTTTTAACATATGGCTTAAACAAATGACAAATGAGCGAGGGTGATGACGTCAGAGCATCGTCCTATGTGCCGGGGCTGAGCCCCGGACAGCCCCGGTTCAATTTAACCCCTGGATGTAGCTCATCCGGCACTGGAACCCGAATCACCCACACACCAACCCGATATCACGGCAAGACGTGAACATGTGACGATTTTCCATGCTGGGAGACGTGAAGATGTCACGATTTCGTCCCTTCAAACGTAACAGTTACACGGTATTGTTAACCAATGTTAACCAGTGGAGAAATTCCCGGAAATGCCAAGCAAATGCTACCCCGACGGTCGGTTGTTATTGTCAATATTCTATCGATCACGGACCGTTGAGTTAGCGTGTGCGTGCAGGCAATGGAAGGTTGTAGGTGTGCGTACCTGTTGTAGCTAACGTTCTGTAATACATCGGAAAGCAAAGACGATTTTCTCCACAGCATGGTCGTCCCCCCCCCCCCCCCCCCCCCCCCCCCCCCCCCCCCCCCCCCCCCCCCCCCCCCCCCCCCCCCCCCCCCCCCCCCCCCCCCCCCCCCCGCCCCCCCCCACCCGTTTTTCTTTTAGCCGCATTCAGCTTACACTGATAATTTTTATTTAGT